CCGGATGATCGCGAATCCGTATAACCGAGGTCCGGATAATCGAGGTTCTACTGTATTCATTACATTCAATAATTATAAGTTGATTTTGCTATAGTTATTACCCCAACAGTCTGCCTGAAATTTCCGGCCGTTTAAAAGTAACGGGGCAAAAAATGCCAAAAATTAAGGTGACCATACGTCCCGGTTTGACCGGGACAGTCCCGCATTTCCATCTTGTGTCCCGGGTTTTTCTAAAATTAATATTTGTCCCGGATTTATATCTTTTGTCACGGATTTTCGAAAAGTATAAGTCTAAATTGAATATTTTTCTTATTTAATAATAAAACTAGCTGTAAATGGAATTCTGTCTTAAGGCAATTAAGGCATCGTGCCTTAAGGCAAATTGCTGGAACTTCCCGTACCAAATTTATTATTTTTTTTTAAAAACAATTAACATTTTTGAAAAAATTTTACTTAAAAAAAATAAGATTTTTGAGAAACTATAAATTGGACAAAAAATTACTTTTTTGAAAAAAAAATTAAAAATTTTTATTTATTTTTTTTTTGAAAAAAAAATGTTTTCTTTATTTTGACATATTTTGGAAGATCTGAACTTTTTTTCAAAGCAATCGAACTGCTTCAACTGCTTAGAGACAAAATATAAAGTGCGTACGCGTCGCCGTCTAACGCATAAACATTGGTACGGAACCCATAGGAATGTAAACATAATTTATACTTATTGTTAAAATCTCTATAAAATATCTGATAACGATATCTGAAATGGCATTTTTTTTACTTTTTTGTTAGATCTCCGAAACCGCTAGATCTGCCCTTATGAAAATTTGATCAATTCTTCATCTTGTCAATACAAGTAAAATGTTTGTTGAATTATTAAAATCGGACGCTCCGTTCTCTTAAAAACTGAGGTACCGTTTTTGGCACTTTTTGCCCCATATCTTCGGAATTGCTAGATCTGCCTTCGCCAAATACTAATCAGCACGTCTCCTTATCAATACGAATCGAAAGTTTTTTGAATTACTCAAAACGGTTGATCCGTGTTCCCGAAATCGTCGACGAAAATTTGTATCCGCACACGCATACACACACGCACACACACACATACACATACATACATTTTTTCTAAAGTATGGTATACTTAAAAAATTATGGTCACCTTACAAAAATGGTAAATGGTCGAGATAACGGAACATCCGATTTCAATGATAAAAGCATTTTATTTGTATCGGCGAAATGAAGAACTGATAAAATTTTTGGGAAGGGTCCAGCGGTTTCCGAGATCCAATATAAAATATGCGGTCAAAAATGATCATTAGACACATGCACATTTGGCGGTCAAAAATTATCATTAGACACATGCAGATCATATTATCAGATATTTTATAAAACATTTCTATGAGTTCCGTACCTAAATTTATCCGTAGCAATGCGATGCGGCGCTTAACCGCTAAAAGTTCAAAATTACCAAAACATTTCAGAATATTAAAAAAAATCTGATTTTTTTAAAAATTTAAAAATTCTAAAAAATCGGTTTCGCCAAAAATTTGATGCTTTTAAAAAAATAATAATATTCGGTGCTGGAAGCTTCAGCAATGTGCCTTAAGGCACGATGCCATGCACGACTAGTTAGTTATTATATATCTTTCATCGTCCGAAATACTCACACGCGCTTATATTACCGCATGCCTACACCTAACATGGTATATATTGATCCAATGTGACTGCAGATTTCTATTTTTTGTTGTATAGCATCATATTTAAATTGAGTTATAACATTAAAGATTAATGTTGTTTTGTAAAGATAATGATATTAAAAAATAAAATCTTTTTTTTACAATTCAACTATTGAAATCGTTTTATTAACATTTATTGATAGGGCATATAAAAACGTTCGGAACAAATTCAAAAATTATGATCGTAACAGGTATTGAATTCGTTTTGTTGTTTGAATGTCGACTATAAAACATAAGAATTATCTATTAAACTTACCTTAACAACTTGGCATAGATAATAAATAACATATCCAATGCTGCATGCAATAAACAACGTCTGTCCTGACATATCCTCGAATATTGTTAACATCCATTCCATTTTCAGCAAAATATCACAAACTTCTTCAACAAAATACTTTTATAAACGTAATCAACAAACACAACAATTAATTTAAATCACATACGATGCGATGACAAAATTCAGATAAGTAACCAATTCGAAAATGAACAATTATAAATGGAAACATGCACAATATCAAGGAACACCGACAATCCGCCATACAACCGTCTAACCTCTCCGCGAGCGTGCTGAGAATGACAGGACAGATGGGACAGGCT